AGCTGTGGCCTCACCAAGGCCAAGTACAGTGGGAGGATGACATACTGAGATTTACTTGAGAAGCATCTATGGATGCAAGCCAGAGTTTTGTTTGCTTTACCAACTGCAACATCGAATTGTGGCTCATGTTCATCTTGTGGTCAATCATGACTCCCAAGTGTCTTTCAGCAGTGGTGCTAGGAAGCGTAGCACTGCTGAGCCTATAAGCACGCTGTGGGGTTTTTTTCCCTGAGGTGGAGTACTGTAGATTTATCAGTATTGAATGTCATTGGGTTTGTATTCACCCACTTAGTAAGTTTATCCAAGTCAGCCTGGATCACTAGCCTGTCCTAAGGTGTGGACGCTATGCCCCAAAGTTTAGTGTCGTCGACGAACTTAGCCAGTGCACTTCTGACACAAATGTCCACATCATTGCTAAAGGTGTTAAAGAGAGCCAGCTAAGGTTTGTGGGGTAGGGATTTTGTCTTTCTGGATACACTCCATTGTCAATGCTGTCTGTCATAAGATGTTTCATTGTACGTTTTTACTGGGAAAGCCAAACTAAAAACAATCACGAGTGCCATCCTGCGTATTCTTCTCTTCCACAGTCTGGGGCTGGGTTCTGAAAGGGTTCATGCAGAATGCTTTTGTTGTTGTGTGTCACCTTGATTTAAAGTTTTTTTTTCTTTACCAATGTTAATGTTAAAAAATATCAGCTATCGTTGCAAATATACAGTAGGGACAACAGGCAGAGGATGCTTTATATGGAGACATTTATTTAACCTATATTTTGTCTCTTGCAAAGCAGGTGTTTATCTAAAACTGTAATTCTGAAAGTCCCTAATCTAGATGCCATCTAGACGATAAGGGCTATTTTAGTATCAGAACCCTTACCCACATTGGAATGTTTTAAAGTTTCAATGCTTTTACTTTCCCCGAAGCATGGCTCCTAAATGATTTCATATTAGAGAAATCAAACTAATGGGCCTGTTGTTTCCTGGATAGAATTTGGCATCAGCCAAGTAAAAAATTTAAATAACTTAAATTTAAAGGTTTTGCTGAGTTGAAGCAGCATTTGGGTCAAGTTCAAATTTCAACACATTCACTATTTAATTTTTATTTCAGGTTATTCAGACTATCAGTGCCACTGACAAAGATATCTCTGCAAATGGGCCAAGATTCCATTTTTCTCTTGATGAGGGCCTTTCTTTGAATCCCAACTTTACACTAAGGGACAATGAAGGTAAATCAAAGACATTAATCTGTAAGAAGTGGGTCTCCGTTTTCTCTGGGATGTCTCACTTAACAGAACAATTGTGCTCACTTTCCTTGTCAGGAGGGGAAAACAGTAATCTATCAATGCTGAACTGGCTGGTATCAAGGACACAGTTATATACACAGTGTGTTTGAAATGTGAATAACCAGGGATTGTGTTTTAAAATACCTTGTTATATATTCTATTCCATATTTACTTTCTATGTGATGCTGTACCAAGAATTTATACTTTATAGGTTTTTCTGTACATTAATGAGCATTTTTTAAAATAAGCATATTTTAAAAAATAACACATGAATTTGTGTTGGCAATCAGTCTAGTTCTTTGCACATCTAGTGAGCACATCTACACAAGATGCTTATTACACAAGATGCCTAATTAACTCCAATGTAGGTTAGTACTGCCAGATAAAAGTACTATCCTAAGGTGGAGTTCTTTATTCTGCTATAATGTACATGTAAAGGCTGTTGGAACTGGCTGGGGCACAAAGGTGCTTCAGTGTGGAGGCTGCCTGCCAGCTGGCCCTGCACTCAAGCACCCTCATGCTCCATCCAGCCCCTCCATAGCTCATTTAGCTGGGTTGGAGCAGCCCTTGTCTGACAAGCTGACCCCCAGAGCCTTCTGCCAGCTCAGGGCTGCTCTGCCCTGGCTCAACATGCTGCACTCCCAGATGCACATGTAAACACTATGCCAGGGAGCAATAAACTCTAGTGTGAAGTGCACCAGAGATTATTGCATTGCTTTCATATTTATGTGTAGATGTGCCCAGTAGGTGCTTATCACAAGGCTTGCTGGCATTCTTAAATAATGAAAATACAAATTTAAGGGACATGAAAAGTGAACTCTTTCTCATTCTGAGCTGCTCTTGCCACTCTGCAGGGCCTCCAGAGTTGATTTAGCTTCACATACCTTCAACCCACAGCTGTTCTTACATGGCATACTCTAGCTTTTTGCCATGTCAGAACATTCATTCCATTGAGAGCATGAAGGAAACTTTTGCTTAAAGGGCTGGGAGTTATGTCCCTAAAATGAATGTCAAATATACTTGTGCATTTTCATCTTTCTTCACCTAAATATAAAATTGAAATGAGCACAATGAGGATTTGAATATTGTTGTACATGGGATCACAGCTGCATTCATTTATATCCACCGTACATCAAATGTTCTCATGCGCTTGGATGGGTATATTAAAACTCTGGCCCTTGGTATTTCATTAAATACTTGGAGACTTTGCACACACTTTATCTCTGTTCCGTCCAGCCATCTTATGACCCCTGCCACCCCCAGTGCTCCTTCCTGCCCATGGCAGGGGGTCAGACTAGATGATCTGTCTAGGTCCCTTCCGACTCATTGATTCTATGATTCTATGATCAACAAAATATCAGTGTTCTAGGGATTAAAGGCTTTTTATGATTTTATCTATTTACCCACACAAGGGAAAGTAAAAACAGTGAGCCTTAAGGCTCTGTGCAGACTTCTCAGGTCTGAATCCAAGTGTACTGGGGGCAGCTCACATACTGATCTTTCCAAATCATGCACTTATGGAGCATTGACTGACCACCAGGATCAGGAGCTCATTGTTAAGGGAGGCAGCATTTGTTTTGTATAGACCAGCAGCAAATTACTTTTTCCCAACAAAGTGAGACATGGACGGGAATTATGCCTCTGAGGCATGTCCTAGAGGGAAAATGCCTACTGAGTGTTATGCTATGCAGAGAGGTGGCAAGAAAAAAAAGTAGCATTCTTCCTGCAGAAGCAGCAACACACCAGTTCATTATTTATTCTGAAGCCAAAACAGTAGATTTTAACACCCACAAAATAACACCCCCCCCAACAGACCATGTCTACACAACTGCTTAACTGTGGAGTAGATTAGCTGCAAAGTAAAGCATCACCAGCTACACGTGCAACAGTCTACACACAGTAAACTAATTAATGCTGGGTAAACTAACTAATGCTAATTTGTGGGGGACAGTACTCTCTTATGCTGAGGTAATTTACTGTGTTTAAACACACATGTAGATGCTGACCATGGGCATTAATTGTGCCCTGTTGGCCCAGCCAGGTGGGGGCCAGACTTCTGCCTGCTGCTTAGCTGCACAGCTCCACACTTTCAGCATCCTTCTGCCCTAGCCATGCCCTCTCCCACCTGATGTTGCCATCTGGAGCCCAGGTCTGACCCCGGTGCCTTCTGTCAGCCTGGGCCTGCTCTGCACTGGCTCAAATTGTTGGTTTCCGCAGGCACAGCGTTTTCACGTAGTTTGCTCCGGCTCAAACTGCCCTGTAGTTTGCTTCACGTTAATTGCAACTGTAGACACTCCCACAGAGAGACATAGTCATCTACCTTGTAGCAAGAAGTTTAACTCATAACTGAAACTAAAAACAAGATCCTTATCATATATTTCCCTAGAGTTCCCTTCCGTAGTCTACAAGGAAGAAGTAACTGTGTAAAATATAAATGGAAGTCTGTATCTTTCTAAATGCATAGCGTTGAGTTTGTGAAGTTTACATATCAGTCCTTGTTTAGAACTTTCCCTAAAGGCATACTTTAGTCCTGTAATGTGGGAAGAACACTCTGAAGTGAATTTGCACTGAACAGTTTTCAAATACTTAAAACTTAGATATGTCTCAACCCTTTTTTTCCCAACCTTGGCAGAAGACTCACTTTTTATGCATCGGACACATTTGAATTTTTCAAAATACTGTTTTCTAGCTTTGTACGCTCAGAAAAAGGTTGACTACAAATTTGTTAAAATGTGATAAACACTGTTTTTTCATGGTTGGATTACTGGCTGGATGTTTAGGGATTTTTTTTAAATTCATACATACATGCACACAATCAACCTTTGGCTGAAAGTAGCTTGAGGAAATTCTATTCAGTAATGTTCTTCAGAAAATGATAAATGCCAAAAATAGGATTTAGAATGAAAGTGTCTTTCAGTGAGAAGCACACCATGTCACCACAGTGCTATATTTCTGAGAAGGAAGAACAGCAGGCTTTGGATTTCAAAGTATGCCTCTATAGGTAATTTCTTCTCTGTTCTTGTTTCTTTTAGAAGTAGGCCAAAGCTGCAAAATTTAGCAATGAATGCAAGGCCTGAATGTATCATTGCCTAATTCTTTTGTACTCTATGCAGTAGCAAATCAAGGCCCTAGATGTTAACAGCTATTTATTTTGTGAACCTAGACTCAAGATCCAGGCAGGCAATGCAGAGATAGAAAAGGTGTCAGACTTGGCCCTTACCTAGATACATTGGTTGGATCATTAATCAGTCTAATGCTTTCTTGTTAATCAGTCAGGAGATTCCAGCAGTGGCAACAAGTATCGTATCTGTTTTTCAGCAGCCCAGTAAATAGTGCATCACCTTCTGGGTTTGTTTGCTATATTGAAGGATAAACATGAAAGCTGGTTTCTGACACCCTTGTTCATGAACAGGGATCCTGGTTTTGTCTGATAAAAAATTGCAAATTCTCTGATAAAACTTGCAGGTTCTCTGATAAAAAATCCCCAAATCCATGATTAAAATGAAACACAACCATATATCTATATCTATATCAGCATCAATTGAACACAATCTTTTATTGATATATTTACAATTTTAAAGCAATTTGGAAGACTGCCAATGCCTCAGTCACTATAATAAATGCTAAATACGTATAAAGTTTGGTATTCGATTTTGGGGGTTTTATCATGGAAAACCAAAGCTCCCCCTACCCCCTTAGCTCACAGAATGCAGGTGCAGGCCCCTGACTCCCCCCCACAGCCCCCTGGCCTTGCTGGTACCCCTCACCCTGCCCCACACACATACCCATGGCCCTGCAGGTGACCGTCACTCCCCGCCCACAGCCCTGCTGGTGTCTCTTACTCCCCCTCACTGCCCTCTCACGCCCTCCCCACAGCCCCCCAGTCTTGCTGGTGCCCCTCACCCCCACCCACAGCCCCCTACCCTCCCTAGCCCTGCTGGGGGGCTCCCAGATGCCAGGGCTATGGGGTCAGGGACCCAGTTCTGGAGCCCCCTGCCACCTGCAGCAGCACGTGAGACTTGACTGCTGACCATGGGAGGCTGTGGCTGCTACTGCATAGCAGTGTGTATAGCCCAGCTTCCCCTCCCTCACGGTTGTCATGGCCAGAGCAGAGCCCGGGGAGGGTGGGGGTTCCCTTTTCAGGCTCAGTGGGTGTGAGCTGTCCAATGCGGGCTCTGTCTTCCCACACTGCTGCCCTCCCCTAGGGCCTCTGCAGCCCAGCAGGTGGGACCTGGTGTGGCAGGGCAGAACAGGGCCAGGTGGGGAAGCTCCTTGCTGCTGCAAGTTCCATGTTGCCCTGGTAATATGCCCCCTGCTTGCACCACAGCAGTGAGGGGCACAGCCCTGGCTGCCTCCACTGCCAGGCGAGCAGGAGATGGCTCACTAGGGAAACATGGAGCTCAGAGCGTCAAGGAACTTCCCTGACCAGCCCCACTCTGCCCTGCTGTTGCATAAATTGCTGATTTTATCCCCTGGAGGCTAGTCCAATTCACCTCTAGAAGAGAGTCACACTTTCAGGCTGGGTCCAACTCTATTTTATTGCTTGCAAGCAGGCCGACAGAGGAGCTTGTTGCTCA